TCCCAAGTAGCTGGGACCATAGGCGCCCGCCACAATGCCCAGCTATTTTTTGGTTGCAGCTGTCATTGTTGTTTTGGCGGGCCCGGGCTGGATTCGAACCCGCCACCTTAGGTGTACGTGGCTGGTGCCTTAGCCACTTGAGCCACAGGTGCCAGTCCCCATTCATTACTCCATTTTGGACCTTTCAAGTGTGTGATCATTCATTCCCCATCTGAATCCAGAAGGGCTGGTAGTGCTACATCTGTCACTGAAGAAGGTGCATCAGCTTCTTGTGTTTTGTTTACTATTTCTATTGGGTTCTTGTGTGGTATGTCTCAGTTTCATTCCTTCAAAGCTTTCCGTCAGCATAGGTTCTTTCGGTTCATCCTCCTCCTCTTCCTCAGACAATGGTGAAAAGGCAAACCTCTGGTTGTTTGCAGATGGTTGCTAGAGAATCATGATGACAAAGAGAATCATGGAGAAAGCAACAGCCAAATGATATCATCCTCCCACAGCTCCCACCAGTCCGATTGACACACCACTCTTCTGAACTTCATGGTTGTCAGATGATAAACAATGTATGCTGCCACCGCGGAGGTGTGTTGGTGAAATGTTGATACAACGAGAGTTTTACAATGTTCCTCCAGTTTTGATAGCTTCATTGTTTGAGTCAGGCTAATATCCATAATATAATACAGGCATCAGTTGCTGAGGGGTCAGGGCTTACCATCACCGTCAAAGGACAAGAAATATACCCAGTAATTCTGAGGACCCCTTTCATGCCAGAGAACAAAAGATAGAGGGCTCCTGCTACCACAACCTTCTGAAGGGTGACTCCTAGGTGTGGCTTGATTATGCCATATCCCAGGCTGACTATTACGACCAGCATTCAGGCCAGTGAGCATTTCAATGCTGAAAGCAGCTCTGCAAGGAATAAGGCACCTTGAAAAGATTCTCTTTTGTACCGAATATTCTGAAATTCTGCATAGAAGACAGCCTTCTCAAGCATTCTCAGAAAGATAATAGCACCAATCCAAAACTGAATTCTCAGGAGCCCTCTCCAGGAGCAGGCAGACCATGCCAGCCACACAACACCAAACAGGGCATATCCAATACACATCACCATAAAAAAATCATCAAGGGATAGTCTTCAAGTGTAAGATATTCAGAGGGATCTTTCACTTCAACAGTCATAGTAAAAAGATTATTTAATGAATTTTCTTTTGATGATTCCTTTGAGGATAAAATACTGACATGTACAATAAAAATGTATGGTGCATCTTGCCAAATTTGCAATGATTCATGCATTTCAGTTTTGTCTCCAATAAAGGTAAAATTTGTTCCATTCTCTTTAGCCTCCTGTTTTTCTCCTAAAAGAGGCAGTCAATGCGCAAAATCCCAAGAAAAGCTTTTTTTAAATATAATGATGCAGTTTTCATTTTAATTAATTAATTAATTAATTTTTGAGACAGAGCCACACTTTGTCGCCCTCTGTAGAGTGCAATGTTGTCCCAGCTCACAGTAACCTCAAACCCTTGGGTTCTCTTGCCTCAGCCTCCCAAGTAGCTGGGACTACAGGCGCCTGCCACAACACTTGGCTATTTTTTAGAGACAGGGTCTCTCCCTGGCTCAGGCTGGTCTTGAACCCGTGAGCTCAGGCAATCCACCTGCCTCAGCCTCCCAAAGTGCTAGGATTACAGGCATGAGCCACTATGCCCAGCCGAAGCTCTGTGCTTTAAAGAGTACACTGCAGTTCTGGAATAATTTTGATGATATTTGATATTTACCAGACAAGCCTTTTTTTGTTTGTTTGTTTGTTTTTCTTTTTGTTTTTGTTTTGAGACAGAGCCTCAAGCTGTACCCCTGGGTAGAGTGCTGTGGCATCACAACTCACAGTAACCTCCAAATCCTGGGCTCAAGTGAGTCTCCTGCCTCAGCCTCCCAAGTAGCTGGGACCACAGGCACCTGCCACAACACCCAGCTATTTTTTGGTTGCAGCCATCATTGTTTGGTGGGCCTGGGCTGGATTTGAATCTGCCACCTTACGTGTATGTGGCTGGCGCCTTAGCTACTTGAGCCATAGGTGCTGAGCCTTTTTATTTTTTCTTAAGTTTTTCCAAATATTTCTCTAGTCTTTTCCCTTGAAGTTATAGATCTAACTCTAAAGTTTAGGTGATTCCCTTGCCTCAGCCTCCTGTGTAACTGGGACTATAGGCACCTGCCACAACACCCAGCTATTTTTTTGTTATAGTTGCCATTGTTGTTTAGTAGGCCACAGAGGGGTTTGAACTCACCAGCCCCTGGGTATGTGGCCGGCACTCTAACCTTTGAGCTACATGGGCGCTGAGCCAAGTTCTGTGACTTTCAATAGCAGATCATTGAACCTAAAAGTGATTTTGGGGACTTTTGATACACCAGGTCTTAACCTGTATGAGATTTAAACAGGTTTACTGCCCATTTATTATTATTTTTTTTTGAGACAGAGTCTTACTCTGTTGTCCTGGGTAAAGTGTCGTGGCATCATAGCTTACAGCAATCTCAAACTCTTGTGCCCAAGTGATCTCCTGCCTCAGCTTCCCGAGTAGCTAAAACCACAGGCACCCACAACAACATCCAGCTAATTTTTCTATTTTTTTTCTTATAGTAGAGACAGGGTCTCACTTTGGCTTAAGCTGGTCTCGAACTCCTGAACTCAACAATTCACCCACCTTGGCTTCCCAGAGTGCTAGGATTATAGGAGTGAGCCACTGTGCCTGGTCCCCTTTATTCTTTAAGGTGTGTGCATTTCATGAATGCTTCATATGTATGATGCTGCAATATTTAAAAAAAAAAAAGAGTTCATGACTAACTAAAAGTGACAAAGAAAGTGGAAGAATAAGTTTCTGGGTTGGGCTGACCTAGAAAACAAAAGTGCAACAGATGAGAAAAAAAGATAGATTCAAGGAGAGTAAGGAAGAAATCCTAAATTCACTTAGACCTATTGAGTTTGAGGAACCCAGTGGCAGGCAGCCTTTTACTTAGCAGACTGGCTCAAAGCCCAGGATAAGCAATAACAAGATATTGATCCTCACTGAAGGAGACATGCAATTGGAAACCAGATGCCATTTTTCTCCCACAAAGTTGGTTACATTTAAAAGGGTAATAATATCCAACATTGGCAAGCTTATGGGAAAATCGGCATTTATACATGGAAAGAATGTAAGTTTTTCACAAGAGATACAGTACTATTAATTTTTTTTTTTTTTGAGACTTAGTCTCACTCTGTTGTCCAGGCTAGAGTGCTGTGGCCTCAGCTTAGCTCACAGCAAGCTCAAACTCCCAGCCTTAAGCAATCCTCGTGCCTCAGCCATCCTACTAGCTAGGTCTACAATGCCCAGCTAATTTTTCTTTTCTTTTTTTTTTTTGAGACAGAGCCTCAAGCTGTACCCCTGGGTAGAGTGCTGTGGCATCA